TTTTAATCCTGTAGGTTTGTTTCACTTTAAATACTTCTATATCTGAATTGAATTCTGGATGTTGTTGTCATGTATAATAATCTCAGTTTTTTGTCTACTACTGTTGACTCTCAGTCCAAAGAACACCCTTTAGCAGTTTCTGTAAAGTTGGTCTGGTCATTACAAATTATTTTCATTTCTGTTTATCAGAAAATGTCCTTATTCTGCAGTCTTACTTGAGGGACAGCTTTGCTGGGTATATGATTCTTGGCTGGCAATTTTTTTCTTTCAGAGTTTTGTACCTGTCATTCCACTGCCTTCTTGCCTGCATGGTTTCTGCTGAGAAATCAGAGTTTAGTTTTACTGGTTCTCCTTTGTAGGTAACTTTATGTTTTTCCCAAGCCACTCTCAGGATTCTTTCCTTGTGTTTGACTTTGGAAGGTTTGATTATAATATGCTTTGGTGATTTTCTTTTGGTATCTATCCTGTTTGGAGTTCGTTCAGCTTCTTGTATACTTATCTTCTCATCTCTCATGATGTTAGGATGTTTTCTTCCAATAACTCTTTGATGGTTTTCTCTTTTCTTTTTATTGTCTCTTCCTGTTCTGGAATTCCAATCACCTGTAAGTTGTTTCTATTCATGTGTCCCACATAACTCTTTAGACTTTCTTCAGTTTATTTTTATTCTTTTTTTCTAATTTTCTTCTAGCATTACTACATTTATCTTCAAGCTCAGGCTTCCATTGCTTCCAATCTACTTTGTCCTTTTATTATATTATCCATTTCTGAAATCTTAGTATTAATCTTCTGGGTTTCTAATTGCAGGTTTTGTATTGTTTCAAAATTTGCATTTATTTTGTCTGTTCATTCTTAGTGTTTTCCTGAATTCTTCTAAAGTTTTTCTGTGTTCTCCTTGTTTTCCTTAATCTTTTCTGTCAATCATTTAAAGGTACCTAACTATCATTCTTTTGAATTATTTTTCAGTTAGTTCCATTACTTTTTCTTCCTCAGAAACGGTTTGTTTTGGTTTTTTTCTCTGCATCTTGGTCATTTGTTTGAGTCATTCTTTCGTTTCTTTGTGTGAGCTAAAATTGTCTGTTGTCTCTGAGGCACTATGGGGTTGTTGTATTTGGTTTTAATTGATAATTATATACTGATGTGTTCTTAGGCTTTTAACAACTGTCACCTGTGGCTATAGTTAGAGAATGGAAGTGTGTATACTCTTCTCCTTTGCCATTCATTCACATCAGTTTAAGGTGGGTTTGGTTGGTGTTGGCTGCTGTATACCATTGATCAAGTGGTATAGGAGGGGGCATTGGCTCTTGCCCAGTGTGTGGAGCTGCAGAGGGTACAGTTTTGGCTGGGCCGTATGGGCACAGTTGCTGTCTCCTTTCCTGTCACCTGGGCAAACCTATACTGCCAGGCCTGCCTCTGTTGCTAACACTGCTCACAATATGGTCGTGCTGTGTCTGGCCAGCCATTTATCAGTCAGTCTCCCTCTCTCACCATCTCTGCTCAGCTTCTCCTCCCAGCAAGCACTCAATCCAATTCTCTGAAGTTCCAGAACTTTCACCTGTGTCTGTTTCATTTGGTCTCTTATATCTTTGTTGAGGAGGATCTGTGTAGTATGTCTACCTAGTTCACCATATTGCTGGAAGTCTTCTGTATTTCTTTATGAATATTAGAATCAGCTTGTCAAGTTCTCCTCAAAAATCAGTTGGGATTTTATTTGAGATTCTATCAAATGTATCCATGGAGAACAGTGCCATCTTAACAATATTAAGTCTTCTGATTTATGAACATGGTAGCTCTCTCCATTTATGTGGGCCTTTTTTAATTTCTCTCAACAATGTTGTTTCCAGTGTATAGGACTTGCACATCTTTTGATAAATATATTCTTAAGTTTTTCATAGGTTTGATGTAACTGTGTCTTTTTTTTTTCATTTACATTGGCTGTTGCTAGTATATACACATGTAACTGATTTGTGTACAATGATCTTGTATGTTTGAAAACCTTGCTGGACTCACTTATAGTTATCTAGATAGCTGTTGTCATTGTTAAGCGCTGTCAAGACGGTTCTGACTCATAAAAATCCTGTATAGGATTTCCAAAGAGTGACTGGTGGGTTTGAACAACCAGCCTTTTAGTTAGCAGAACGGTGTTTATCTTACAGTGCCATACCAGGACTTACGATTTTACTGCCATTTTGAAAATTCCATGAGATTTTCTACATAGATGATCATGCCATCTGTGAATTTAATAGTTTACTTAATTATTTCCTATCTGAATGCCTTATATTTCTTTCAATGATACTGGACAGAAATAATGTTGTTAGTTGTCAAGTTTGGCTCACACTCATAGCTGCTTTATGTATAAGTATGTTTCTTTTTGACATCTATTCAAGCAGCATCGAATTCTATATACATCCATGGTCCCACAAGGTGGTTTAATTTTTTAAAAAAATGAAAAGCAGCTCTCCTTTTGTTTATTATTTTCCCCTAATGGTTTTAAGAGCCCTGGTGTGGTGCTATAGGATCATCATTGGACTGGTAATTGCAAGGTTACCAGTTCACGCCCACCACTCACTTTTGGAAACATTATAGTGTCACTGTAAGTCAGAACCAACTCTATGGCACACAAAACAACAACAATAATGGTTTTAAAGACTCCCTAAGCTCACAGAGTTAACCAACAGCAGGACTCAATGGCACACCCCAATCCCTGCAGCACATCCTCTGTGGCTCCTCCTTTTTCTCCACTTGGCTTCATTCATTTACTGAGCAGACATGTAAACTTTCACTGCCAGCGCAGGGCAGTTCCTGCCCAGACTCCTGACACGGGCGCTGGTGGGCTCCAGCTTTAGGTAACAGCAGCCGTGGCTGCACATGATCAGGAGTAGCTAGTGAGGCATTCTTATGTTCATGAATACCTCTGCTTCTGAGGAATTTTATAGGAGGCGCAGAGAAGCCTTCAGGTAGGTGTTTAAGTGGATCAAGAACAGTTTTCTCTGATACTTCTCACTCTTTAAATACTCTTTCTCTGTCTGACAGAGAAGAGCTTTCACTGAGTTGCCATTTGGTGATATATATAAGGTTTCCATCAAAGAATACAACAAGAAATAGTCTTACAAATTGGTGCTGACCCTATGTTGTTGTTAAGTGCTGTCAAGCTGGTTCCAACTCATTGCAACCCTCTATAGGGTTTCCATGGAGCTAATGGTGGGTTTGAATGACCAACCTTTTGGTTAGCTGACCAGTACATATCCTACAACACCACCCTATATAAAGATATTTTTAAAAATCAACTCTCACCATCTCTTTATAAGACCTTTTTATAACATGTGGAGCTGTGTGTTAATGCACAGGACTGCAAGGTCAGTTTGAATCACAGGTTGGCAGTTCACGCTCTCCAGCTGCTACTCAGAAACCCTATACAGGGTCTCTATAAGTCAGATGATGGCACTTAACAATTTTATATAGAGTCCGGGTGTGGCGCAGTAGGATAAGCCCTGGACTACTGGACTGCTAACCACAAAGTTGGTGGTTCAAATCCACTAGCGGTGCTTTGGGAGTCCTATAGAGTTGCTGTAAGTCAGAATAGACTCAACAACACTTAGTAACAACAATGTTTTATATGGAGTTCTGGTGTGGCACTGTAGGATAAGCACTGGAGTGCTAACCAATTTAACCATTTTAACCATATGGTCAGCAGTTCAAATACACTAGCAGTTCCTTGGAAACCCTATACAGGATTGCTATCAGTTGGAACTGACTCCTTGCCACTTAAAAATAACAATGTCTTATATGTTGAAGCCCTGGTGGTGTAGTGGCTTACACGTTGAGCTATTAACAGCAGGTTCAGTGGTTCAAATCTACCAAGTGTTCAATGGGAGAAAGATAAGGCTTTCTGCTTTCATACAGATTTACCACCTCAAAAACCTTATACAGGGCCACTGTGAATTGGAACCAATTAGACGGCACACAGAAACGATGCCTTATGTAAAAAAATTTAATTTGTAGTCAACTGCTCAAAAAAGCTTTCCTGTCCTGTGAGGATACATTTCCCCTGCTTCTTATAAAGTATGAACCATGTAGTTGATTACTTTCAACATATATACAATAAGTCTATGTTTCAATATACAGGTATGTCTCTATGTCTATATATCTACAGTCAACTAATTTCTCTCCTTCCTTTAATTCGTACTCTATTTTTCCTTGGTCTGTTTTTGTTAGTTTTTTAAAATGTGGCCATTCTTATTTTGCTGTATATGTTTCTTTTCTTTTCTTTTTTTTCTGTTTATGTTTCTTAAACAATGTTCCAAGTAATTTGTGGAATGAAGTGACGTCAATAACTGACAAAGAACTGCACCACTACATTTAAAAATATGACCTGGAACCTGATATAAATGCTTTGCTTCTCTCTCCAGGACCATGGGGTTGAAAGCAATGTCTTGAACTAACAATGAAAGTTTGGCTGAATGAGGATAGGGCAACAGGCATGTACCATAAACACTGGATCTCCCTAGGAATTTTGTCCGACTAAATGGATTTACCCTAGGCTCCTAATATTTAAGTTCTATGAAGGTTGCTGGTGTTAAGTGCCAGTGAGCCAGTTCCAACCCATAGCAACCGTCTACGAGGGTTGTTGTCATTATTGTTAAGCGCCATCAAGTTGGTTCCGACCCATAGCGACCCTGTATAGGGTTTTCAAGGAGCAGCTGGTGAGCTTGAACCACCGACTCTGCAGTTCAAATGGCTTTGCAGTCTGGCGCATTAACCGACAGTGCCACACCAGGACTCTATGAAGGTAGTACACTGTAAATCTTATTCACCATTTCAAGTCAGTATCACTCAAAAAGAATAAATTTCATTAATAACTTAAGATCCTTTATATTTAAGAAGTGTATCCTTAAAGATCATTCAACACATAATTTAGAAATGATTTTCTAAAGATTAGCGGGTATCTATAAGGAAAATTTCATTTGAAAAATAAAAAGATAGCTCTCTTTTCTGGTACATACGATTCTTGCTACAGACATGTTGCATGGCCCAAACTGCCCACAGCTGGACTCCTGGTGTTGTGAAACAGCCAAGTAATGGGAAAAATGGATTGAAGGACCTAGAGTCAAAGAAAAGCAATACAGATTACATCCTATACTTAGTGTCACTTTCTAAAGCAATGAATCTAAAATTTGCAGTCTAGAAATTTCATCCTCTGTCATGTAGGGTTACTTGAGTCAGAAAAGACTCGACAGCAAATGACAATTTCTAGACTAATCTAATGAGCTACAAAACACCTTTTCTTTATCTCAGTCATTTTAGAAAGGAGTACATTTAGATCTAAGTCTTGGTACAAAAGATGAAAGGTAATCAGAACAAGGTATTAACAGAGAAAAACATTCAGTCTAAAGCATCTTTTTGATCACAAAGATACACATTTGAAAAATAACAGATTTTGGTTTGAAAACTAAGAAAAAGAGAAGTTAGTCAACAAGTTTAATACCATATCAAGGTGATCTAGAATTAGCCTTTTTATTTCTACTGGTCTTCTGTGCAAAAATGGCTAAAAGATATGTTAGGGAAGTTAAATATGTTGGCAGCATTAACATTTATGAAGCAGAGCACAAAAATAGTAACAGAATTATTTCTGGAACAGCCTCGACAATTTTAGGTTATCAATAACTTAGCTATTAAGTTACGAAACTGTTGTGGTTAAGCATACAGTATGTACTTCAATTAATGATTACAACCTGTTTCCCCAAACTAATCTGATGGTACGTCTAGTTCCTTCAAGGTGTCATGTTGTTTTATACCATTTTGCATTAATATATTGTTTCCATTTCCTAAAATTCCTTGCCCTAATTTAATTAATCTTTCAAAATTTAAATCATAAATCACCTCCTCTACAAGTTTGATATCAGGAGGGAACAGTCCTTGGAAAAGAACATCATGCTTGGTAAAGTAGAGGGCCACCAAGAAAGAGGAAACCCTCCAATGAGATGGACTGAAACAGTGGCTGCAACAATGCGCCCAAACATAACAGTAACGGTGAGGATGGTGCAGAACACAGCAGCGTTTCCTTCTGTTGTACATAGGGTCACTGTGATGCCAAGCCAACTCAATAGAACCTAACAACAACAGTGAAGATTCAAGTGCTCTTACATTTAATTTCATAGCAAAACAGTGAATTATACCTGACTTGCAGTTGTTTTACCTCACTAGACTGTATGACTCCTGTGTAGGCACCATGCTACATTCATCTTCGAATTTCAAGAGCAATTCAAGTGCTAGCACTTGACTTCAATAAATATGGAATGAAAAAAGAAGTATTGAATGAAAAGGTTGACAGAACAAAGTCAAAATACTTTGCCACTTTTAAAGCCAGTTCTAAGATAGGTGAATAAGAGGGAAATTACACATCAAGTAGAAATTATCAGTAGGCAAGCAAATAACTACATTGCTGGGTTAATATTGTCATTATAATTACCTGTATGCTACCATTTCACACTCTGGAGTTGGCCATTTCAAAATAGCTGAGTGCTGCAAGACACAAAACATACACAAAGAAAGATCATATGTATCTAAATAGCCTTGCATTGTAAACATTATGAGGCTTATATAGTTTGACCACTATGAACAATTTTTGTTTGTTTCCAGAAAATATTAAATGATCCTACCAGATCATCCAAAAGAGAATTCCTCTGGCTACGGCTCAATGTCCAGGCTTGTTCACCTCTGGATATTAAATGGGCAATAATTCCAGCTGCAAAGTAACTGACTTCTACTTCAACACTGTGTAGAAGGCTACTGATGTGGTCTATAAAATCCTTCCACATTAATTCAGAATGCAATTCTTGTACTTCAGCTATGTTGTTCTGGAAAAAAAAAAAGAAGAAGATATAAAATTTAAAATAGTACGTATTGTTGTTGCTAAGTGCCACTGAGTAGGTTCCAACTCAAGAGTGACCTGTATCGGGTACTGGTGAGTTTGAACTGCCAACTTAGTGGTTAGCAGTACAGTGCTTATCCCACAGCACCATACCAGGACCCCCTGTAACACAATTATTGTTGTTGCTAAGTGCCATCACGTCAGTTCCAACCTATAGCAAGCCTGTATAGGGTTTCCCAGGAACAGCTGATGAGCTTAAATCGCTGACCTTGAGGTTCCAACCAGCTTTGCAGTCCAGTACATTAACCCACAGCGCCACACCAGGATTCCAAACAATTGCAAGACAGTAAATCCATTATAAAATCAAACTGATAAAAGTATTTCAAAATATAAGAAAAACCCTAGACTGCCATTTTAAAAAAGGAAAGATTTGGAATAGACCAAAATAGAACATCTTGCTGTAAATGAGTTACTAGAAAACCAGACAAAATACATGAAAGACTGTTTTTTGACACTGGACCATAGGCAATTCAGAAATATGATCCCTAAGAGAGGAAATACAAAAAAGGCAGTTTCCAGTTTACAGGGTTGCTATGGGTCAGAATCGACTCGACAGCACTTAACAACAACAACCCGCATAAAGAGAAACCCAAAGAGAACCTGGCAGTTTTGCTGAGTTAAAGAGAGAGAAATCAGAGTTCAAGGTGGGCTGAGTACACTATGGGGTGAAACTCCATGAGGCTAGGGCAATAAGAACATGAACAAGTCCCAGAATTCACAGAGGGCTAGTAGTTCACATTCCCACCAACTAGATAGAAGAGATCTTGTAACACACAAGGACTTCAAAATGGGAACCCCTTAGTGGTGGGGCTACATGGCATATTAGCTAGAAAGTAAACTTTGACCTGAAGTCACTCTAACAAAGAAAATAAAGAAGCCTCAAAAGGAACATGAAAATGGTACAGCCACCGTGGAGAAGGGTTTGGTAGTTCCTTAAAAGGTTGAACATAGAAATACCATATGACCCTGCAATCCTAGTCGTAGAACCCAGAAGCAGCAGGGAAAGCAGGAATGCAAACGGAAACCTGTACACCATTGTTTACTGCAGCACTTTTCACAATAGCCAAGAGGTGGGAACAACCAAAATGTCTACCAGTATATGAATGGATAAACAAAATGTGGTATATACATTCAATGGAATATTACACATAAAGACAAATTAAACCCCATAGCAGTAACAACCTTGACAACATTATGCTGAAAGACAATGGCCCCAATCCTCCAAACTTGATGAAAACTATATTCCAATATGAACTCCAATCAGAGGAAACATGAAGTAAATTACACCAAGACACATCATAATCCAATGATCAAAACTGTTGCTATAAAGAATTAAAAAAAAAAATGCAGCCAAAGGAAAAGAAGGAATATAATGAAGACATCAGATTTCTCACTGGAAAGATACAAGAAAAAATGTAGAGTAAGATCTTTAAAGCACTGTCAACCTAAAATTCTGACAAAAAGCATCTTTCAAAAATGAAGATTAGAGTTTCTGAGGCTTTTAGATCTTTGTGGGAGCAAAAAGCCCAATCTTTCTCCCGCAGAGTGGCTGATGGGCTTTTACTACTGAGCTTGAGGTTCACAGTCCAATGCTTATTGTATGGAACCACCATTCTCCCTTAAATGTCATACAGGCAGAAGAAAATGAGTAACAAATTGAAACCTGGATCTATACAAACGAAGGAGAGCACCAAAAATTGTAACTATTTGGGTAGCTTTAAATATTTAATTATTTAACTTTAATTGATATTTAAAATAAAAATAACAATGTTTTGTATGATTTATGACATATGTTAAAGTAAATGCATGACAATGATAACATAAAGGAAAGGAGAGCAGAAGCAAAAAATTACTATTATAAATGTCTTGTACCAGCTTTGCTAGGATTTCTAGTGTGGCACTATAGTATGGATACTAGACTGTGAACCACACAGTTGGCAGTTCAAACCCACTAGCTGCTCTCAGAAACACTATGTAGGGCCACTAAGAATTGGAACCGACTCCAGGGCACTTAACAACCACAGTAACATACCAGCTGTTGTGAAGTTGTTTATGACTCACGGTGACTTTGGGTATGTCACAGTAGGAATTACAACAGCTGTGACTTTTAGGAAGATCACCAGGCCTTTCCTTCAGACACCTACGATGGATTCAAACTGTCAACCTTTTGGTGACTAGCCAAGTGTTTAACCATTTGCACCACCCAGGACTCTAAGGTTCTTATACTATATGTGAAATTATATAGCATTACTTAATGGCAGACTGTGACTACACGGGGTCGCTGTGAGTCAAAATTGACTCAATGGGACCAAATAACAAAAACAGAGTATGATTAAAGATATATGTTGTTATTGTTATGTGCCGTGGAGTTGGTTCCGACTCATAGCGACCCTGCACAGGGTTTCCGATGCTGTAAATCTTCATGGGAGCGGAAAGCCTCATCTTTCTCTTGAGGAGTTTTGAATTGCTTGAGTAGTTTTGAATTGCTGACCCTGAGGTTAGCAGTCCCATTCGTAACCACTAGCTGCCAGAGCTCCTTTATATGTAGTATACACTCAAAAAAAGATGTATACTATAAGCAATTATCAAATTAACATGGCAAAGAGTAATAGCTAAAAAACCAAGAAAGAGATAAAATGGAATCATAAAAAATATTTGATACCAAAAGAAAGTAGAAAAAAAAGGAAAACAAAGAAGGTGGTATGAACAGAAAGCAAATTTCAAGGTGATAGACTCAACTCTACTAACAAACACATTAAATGCAAATAATCTAACACCCCAAATCAAAAGTAGAGCTTGTGAGATTAAAAAGCAACATCCAAATGCATGCTGACTATAAAAAAGGTCCTTTAAAAGTAAAGACAAATAAAAGGATACAAAAAGATGTATCATGTGAACATTAGTGAAAGGAAAGCTAGAGTGGTTTTTATAAATATCAGAAAAAGTAGATTTCAAAGCAATCAGTGATTTCAAAACTCTTCTCTTAATAACTGAAAGAACAAATAGAATAACAGTAAAGGTATGGCAAACTTGATTAATATAAACCAACTAGACCTAAATGACATTAGAGAACACTGCACTCAACACCTACCATTAGTCTGTCAGTCTGTCACATTGTGGTGGCTTGCATGTTGTGATGATGGAAGCCATGTCACTGGTATTTCAAATACCAGCAAGGTCACTTATGGTGGATAGGATTTAGCAGCACTGCTACAGTAAGGCTAGGAAAGAAAGACCTAACAACCTACTTCTAAAAAATTTGGCTACTGAAAACTTTATGAAAAGTTAAGTGGACCCCTGCTAGAGAGTAAGGTCCCCTAA